ACAGAACCCTGAGGCACTCCACATACAATGTCCAGCTCACTCGATTGGTATTCACCCAACCTCACAAATTGACGCCTCTGTGTCAAATAACTTCTGATCCATTTCCCAACCATTCCTCTGATCCCATATTTCTCCAACTTATCCATTAATAGTTCATGATTAACTGTACTTGCTGCACAAGGCAACTGTCCCGGCAGTAGCCCAGTTTGTTTGTTTGGCCCCAGCCCCACATTACTAAAGTCACAGCAACGAGAGATGGAGGCAGGGAAGATATGTAATTGAAACTGTGAGGTTCTCACGGCTGTAGACAGTGTTCAAACTCACAAATATGCATGACACATTTCCTTTGACAAATTATGCACTTGCTGTCACAGTCTACTGCACCACAGCACCTAATGAGTTGTAAGGGTGGCACACCCTCTCGCCAAGTACATCATGGGTCTCTTGGCTGAGTTCATGGACACCCACAGTACATATGCTTTCACCCTCACAGTGAACAGATGTGGAGGTAACAAGCTGTGCACAGAAGGCGTGCGCTTGGTTCTGGTTCTGGTTCTTTTGGCCTTTGTGCAGAATAAGTTTTGAAATTTGTAAACATGAAACAGAGAGAAAAAACAAAAAAAATAGACTGAATCTGTGAAGGCAATAAAATCCCTAATGCTCGGTGGTTCAGAGTTTGCTCTACAGCCAAGTCATTTCTTAAGGGTCCCTCACTTTTAAGCAGCAGAGACCATGTAGTCAGACCTTTAGCCCCTTGTGTACAGTAAGTCAAAAATCCAACATCCTATGCTAACAACTCTCAAGTCTCAAGCCGACACTATAAAACTCCTTTCAGTGCCACAGATATCACACGGCCATATTGCCCTTGATGATTAATACGCTGAAATTCATGTGTAAAATTGCTGTTTTTAATTTAAAGCCACCAGAGAGAAACTGTTCACAGGCATTGCCTCATTTTATAGTCAGCTAGTTTGGAGATAATTGACAATTTAATGGCAATTTATCAAAAGGTTTTTGAAATATTTTAGTTGGGACCAAATGGCCATTCCTATATCTGCACCCAAGGATAAGAATAAATTAATAGTAAAATTGAGGAATTACAAGCCAGTACACCTTATTCAATATTTATTTAAAAACTTATTTCATAGAAACTAAACCTACAGGAACTGAAGACTGAAGAGACTAAGAACAACAAACTAAAAATACACCATACACATGCTTTAACCCTGTAAAGCCTGACACATCAAAAAATAGCCAGAACATTCTAATATTTTGGAACTGAGATGTTTATTAAACCTTTTAACAAAAGCCAAAAGAAAATTCAAGATTCAAGATTTTTATTTGCCATTTATGCATAGACAGTCTAGGCATCTAGGAATAAATGTGCCATATTATTTAGATTATTATTATTATTATTTTGTATCACATTCGACACATGGGGCAATTTTGGCTACTTTTTTTTGCTCAAAAATGCAAATATGATACAAATGGTTTTATGGGGTTAAAACCTTTAAAGGAAGCTTCCATGGGCACTTGGGGAAATCTATCCAAACCCATGACTTGATTTGAAACAAACAGAAAAACTAAATTACCTTTGAGTAATGGATATTTAATCTGCTGTTGAATAGCCAACACTGCATATCATGATGAGGATTTTTAACCATGACTTTCCCTTAACTAGTCAGCATAAAACCAACTCAATCTCAACACAGGGAGTGCAACTTCTAACCTCTTTTACTCTCTGTCAGGCAACACATGGCCAAAAACATGAATGTGAAGCTGTCAGTGTGGTGGAAATGAATACAGTCTGTGACAGGCATCTCACCCAGGTATGACCTTCCCACACAGACACCCAGTCGTTTGGAAAAACATGCAGATACAGCTGGACTGTAAATATTCAAACAAGGGAAAATTCTTACTCTGCTCTTATCATATGGAAAAATCAACCTGCTTGTTTTGGTTTGCACTCCACCTCCACCATGTTCTTCTTACTTTTTTTTAAGATTTTCTCAGAGGACTGAGTCTTGTGATCTTCTCAGATATAAAACAGATTCATGTTGATAGTGATACACTATGTTTAATCTTCTTTAGCTGCTCATAAAGCATATCAGCAAGTGCTTATTACCTGTGACACTAAATTCATAATTGGTTTTTTGCCTCCTCCAAATGTCCATGACATGATGATATCATTGGTACTCAGTCTGATGAGGAAGAGATGTATTTTAGGAAATGATTAGAAGCTAATCAGTAATGTTGATGAGCTGTTTCTGCCAGTGATAGTGTCCCAGGAGAAGCCTTGATTTAGTCCATTTGCTGCAGAAAACTCTCCCAGCTCCTGTCTTATCCACAATTCAACCAATTCACAGCTCCTGACAGTTTCCTTAAGATAACAATGCTGAGGTCAGGCTAATGAGGGGTGGAAACGGTACACTGGGTTTCTCCTCACATCCACATGTTGGTCAGGAAGAGGGCGGCAGGCATTCGAATCTGAAACAGGCCAGCTGTTCTCCTGCCAAAGCGACGGAACAGGCCCTGGTGGACTCTTGACGTGTCCCTGCAACAGCTCACTGATTCTCTTTTAGCTTCACCCTTAGTGTGAAACAATTACCTTGCATCAGAAGACTCATCAGTGCTTGTATCTGCCCCACTAAGGTACGTTTCCATAGTCATGTAAAGAGTCACATCCAAAGCTTTTAAAGGGGCAAGTTCTATGAGACTGAGTGGAAACTATGAGGGATCTCAATCAAGCATAGGTTTAGGTTTGGAAGGAAACAAGTAGGATTTTTCTTGCCAGGATCGGAATAAGGATGAATGTTTCCTCTTTTCTCTGCCACAAAAATATCTGTAGAAATAATACTTTTATTGTGGTTTCAGAGACATGTTTCAGCTTTAACAAAACATACACTATTTTGTGATTATAATTTGAACTTTGAGGGAAACATTTTGGGGAACACTTTCTTTCCTAGAAATGAGGAGAGTTAGCTTAGCATAAAGACTAAGATAATTCATAAAATAACAACTTATCGTTTTTACGCTTTGGCTTTAGTACAGATTGAACTATTTATAACATGTGAATCAGTGACCTTTAGAGATGCTGGCAGGTGAGTTTTGTTACCTCTGGATAGAGCTATGCTCACCGTTTCCCCTGTTCTTTATGCTTTCAGTTGCTTCTTTGCTTCTGTGTGCTGTT